GGATGAATAATGAAAAATTCATTCATTCATTCATTCATTATTTGTTAGTTTTTTTTATACTTATTGCATTTTATTTATTCTGTTTCTGGAACAGCAACAACAACAACAACAACGAAATTTCAAGTTTATGTTTTTTCCATTTATTTGTTTGTTTGTTTGTTTTCATTCATTTATTCTATGAATTATTGCGTACATCTGACACCTACACACCTACACACACATATAGGAATTAGGTTGTGGACAAAATTAAAACAAAAAGAATTGTTCATCACCGACGAAGGTGTAAAAGATATCCCATGAGAAATGGATTTTTTTTCTCTTCTCTTATCTAGTTGATAGATTTCTTATCATTATTATCATCATCATTATGATAAGTAGGTATTCTGTGAATGATGATGATGATCATATGAATAATGATCACTAAAAAAAAAAGTTTTGGCAAATGAAAAAAAAACAATGGTACTGAACAGAAACAAAAAAAAAAAAAAACATTTCAAATAAATGAAGAAAAATTCACAATTTCGATTCATCCATCATCAAGAATAGGGCACACACACACACAGTGCAAGAATTGTGATGTTTCAAGAGAGAGAGAGAGAGAAGAGAGAAAACAAATGGTCACGAGAATTGAAACAGAATTCATTGAATATGAAATAAAAATAAAAATAAAAAATTCAATTTCATTTCAATTTTAAAATTCCAGAATTTTCTTCAATGGTTATTTAAACGTTGAACGATGAAATGATGACGATGATGATGACGATGAGTTTTATTCAATAATTCAATGGACCAACCATGTGTATATCCATGTTTATTTATATTACAAACAGCAAGAAAAAAAAAAAATATAGATATCGACGACAAACATTGGCGATATATGAATAAACGAAAAAAAAGCAAATATGAAATGGAAAATGAAAAAAAAAAAAAAAACGGAAACCATTGGTTCTCAAACAGACTGGAAATCAAACATGGAATTCACATAGTCAAATTTTCTTTTTTTTCACATTGATTCGTCTATCGATTTTCATTTTTTTTTTATTTATAAAAATATCGTTTTTTTTCGTCAGTGCAACGGTATCACGACATTTGAAATGTTTTTCTTTTTTACTTACTTTTTTTCGATGATGATGACGATGATGATGATGAGTGAATCTTTTCCACGAATCGAATCGAATGAAATTGTAATGTAATTTTCTTTGGCAAAACAAAAGAAGAAAAAATTCTGGATGAAAAAATTTTCAAACAAAACACGAACACTGAACTATTTTATAGACGTGATCATGTTGTTGTTGTTGTTGATGATAAATTGAATTTAAACATGATCTTGATGATGATGATGATCTAGATGACGATTGATGATGCACGAGAAAATACAATTTGATTCAATCAATCAATAGAAAAGAAAAAAGAGAAATGGTCAGACGAATTGAATTGATTTTTCATGTCATGATTTGTTGATCGTTGATGTTGTCGATGATGAAAAGTGATGAATTTTTCAAAACAAAAACAAAAACAAACACACACACAGATACACACAAGCCCACATACACAAAGAATAAATGAATCGGAAACAGAATACAGAAAAAAATGGATGAATGAATGAAATTGATAATAAATCAATGAATCGATCAAATATCGATTTGATAGATTGATTTGAGAATCAAAAGAATGTTATATGTGGATAGACACTGAGGACGGTGACAATAATAAAAAAAATGGACAAAAACAAAAAAAAATTCACATCACAATGGAATTTATCGATGATGTTAACATTGTTGTCTCTGTTATTCCAGAATGAAGAAAAGAATTTCCTTTTTGTTTACAATCGAAACACGCACCAAAGTATGGAATTTAGATGAATTTTGGGCGCCAAGTCATGATCGCTGATAGCCGCTGTGATCGTCATCGTCTGTCGTCTACTATGAAGATATATTTCAAAAGTCTAGTCTACGAAGAAGACTCGTGATCTTTTTCTTTTTACAAGTCTGTATTTGTGGTTGTGTGTGTGTGTGTTCCAAATGGAACATTGTGAATGAAAAAAAAAAAAAAATGTCAAGCGCATGATTCTATTATTCATTGTGCTTGAACAAATGAATTTGATTCTGTTTATGAATGGGCAAACGTGTACGAGTGAGTGGATAGAAAAATATATGTGTGCACATTACACATTACACATATTATATTTGTATACCGCTAGTTTTGATTTTTGATTTCAAAATGCTAACAGCATTGTTTAGTGGAAACAGGAAATAATGAATTATTTTCATCAATTTTTTCCTATTGACATCAATCTTTGATAATTTTTTTTTTTTTGAAAAGATAAAGTTTGATTTTTCTATTTGACACAGAATTTTCTCTTGTTATGATCATCATGGTTGTCAATTTTTTTTCTCTCTGTTTTCTCGAATCAAAAAAAAAAAAAAAACGAAAATGATAATGAAGATGATATTTTGATTTTATTCGGAAAAAAAACTACCACCACCATCCACAATCCCAACAACAATAATAAAAAAATAATCTTTGTCGTAGTGGTTTATTATCATATTTTTTGTTGATAATGATTGGTTGGTTGGTGTTGCCAACGGTTATAGCCTTGAAAAAATAAAAATTCGATTCAACAATCACCATTTTTCATCATCATTTTGGATTTTTTTTCCTTTTGTAAATTTCATAATTATTATCATTGTAGTTGCACTTTGAAAAGAAAAAAAAACCTTAGATGCTCAAGGGAATAATTATATTATTCATAAATAACAAAAATGAATGAATCAAGATTTGTAAATGTGAAATTGAATAAAAAAGAAAAGGATTCGATAGATGAACGAAATACATCGATAGAATCGATATTTTTTTTTGTTTCCCAGCAAAAATACACAGTTTCTAAATATCTTAATTGAATCGATTTATAGAATGAAATTAATGAAACACACACACACACACACAAACACAGAATATCGAGAGAGAGAAAAAAAACCAGATTAAACTGGAACAACAACAACACTGGAAAAAAATTGTTTTTTTTTATCGATTTTTTTCTCTTTCTCATACAATGACAATAATATTTTAATCGATATTAAAGAACTTCTCTTGATGGACAGAATATAATAGTCTCTCACTCACTCTCTCATGTTTCCTGTCTATGACATATACACACACACACACACACACACAAAAGGACCGAATAGATCGAATATTCTGTAAATCGATCGAGATCGATATTTTTTTCCAGTTGATCTTTTCATTTTTTTTTCTCCACTTTTGTTGTCACTATTGATGTCATAATCGTCGTTTGCTGTCGTCGTATGCTGTTGCATGTTTGTTTGTTTGTTTGATGAGAAAATGTGTGAAAATTCACAAATTGAAACAAAACAAAACACAAACACACGAAACACGCACATACAAGAAACATTTGCTTGTATTATTATCATGTGATAGCCATGTTTTTTCTCTCTCTCTTTGCTTTTATAAATTAATAGATAGATAGATGTGGGTGTGGGTGTGTGTGTGTGTGTGTCCACAAACATCTTTGTCCGGAAATTAAGAAAAAGACACATTCGGTTTTTTTTTTTTGCTTCCTTCATATTGTCAATAAAGAATTTTTTTCCATAATGATCGCGATTCTTGATAATAAAAAAAAAAAAAAAATATTCAGGAAATGAAATTCGGTTCGTTCGTTCGTTCGTTCAGTCAAGCAAATTTTTTTTTGTTCCTGGTATGAACAAAAAAAAAATGGTGTTGTCTGTATTGATTTTTCAACACGTTTATCTATTGCTGTCGAAAATTTCAAAAGTTTCACTTACCTGACGACGTCAAAAGTATTGGATCAATGTGAATTTTTTTTTATCCATCATGTCCAATGAAAAAAATTTTTTCGTTTCGTGTCGTCAACCCGGCAATCGTATTGCAGCATAAATTTGTCTGGGTCTATCTTTGGAATTTTTATTCTGCGTACAAAAAAATGAAATCAAATGAAATGAAATGTACTGAATATTCATTATTCATAATTACAGATTTTGAAAGATTTTAAAATGAGTGAAATCAAAAAAAAAAAAAATCCCAGCCAGCCAGACCAAAAAAACACACACACACACAATTTGAACATTCATAATTTTTGTCAATTCTTGCGTAATGAAAAAAAAAAAAACAAAATCAGCACATCCAAAAAAAAAATGATTTGGATCACTTTTTGATTCTTGTTCTCGTTTTTTTAGTTGGCTGTGGGCGTGTGAACAAGCTGCTTCTTTTTTTTTTTTGATTGCTTGAACTTGAAACGCTTATTACAGCATAATTTTTGCATTCATTCATGATTTAGTGAAAGCGATACATTTATTCTGGTGTTTTTTTTTGTTGAATAATCGATTTTTCTTTTTTTTTTTTTTGGTTTTGAAACTTTTTCTTTGTTTTGTTTTGTTTAGAAGGTATTTGTGTGTGGCTGTCATAGTCAATATGAATATATCTCTGATGATGTGATGAACGATTCGATGCACGAATGTATCGATGTTTTTGTTTTCATGTTCGATTATAATCGACATGTAATTTTTGGAGATAAAAAACAAAACACAGCCAGAATGATTGAATATCCATAAGTGGTGGATTCGTTCGTTCTTTTTTCATCTCATCGTTGTACATGACAACAATAAAGAGAATGAAAAATCCTAACAAGAGAAACATCTCATTATAGATGGATAGATGATAATGGATTACAAATAACCCTAACAACCAATGTAACATCAGATCAATCAAACAACAATATTCTTTCATGACTTGAATATTAATTAGAATAATAAAAAAAAATAACTTTTTTTGGATGCTACATGAACATTCATTGTTTAATAATGAAATTCATTGCATCAATCTATTTATATACTAATTAATATTTCGATATCCAGATCGTCTTTCATTCGATTTATATTGAAATGATTTATTGGAAAAAATTTTTTTATCTCATTACACATTTTTTTATTATTATTAAAACTAAAAAAATTTCATTTGATTAATTAATTTCAATCAAACATCAATTGATTGTATTTTATTTAGTTATATATTTTTGAAATTTAAATTTTCACTGTATTCGATAAACGTTTCAAATCGGCCAATGTTGTACGTAATGTATCTTTTTCCTGTGCTGGTGTTATACCTTTAGCCACATTATCGATAATCCATTGTACCATATATTTTTGTTGAAATTGTCGTTCAGCTTCTTCTTTAGCTACTAGATAATTAAGACGTCGTCGTACTTCTTGATAGGCTTCCATTTGTCTACGGCGATATTCAGCTTCCAATTGTAATTGAACATTTTCACGTTTTGCATCGAACAGTATTGAATGTTGTTTTGGTGCATCACGAACAGATTCCTCTGATTTAATGAAATCATTCAAGAATTTAATCATTCCTTTTTGCCAATCATCCCATGATTTTTCGATTGCCTAAATTTTGCAAGAAAAGAAACAAAAACAAAATATGAAAAAAATTCGTATTCGAAAAATAAAACACTTACATCAACTTTGGCACAGTTTTTATTACGAATGGCTGGTCCAAATGTTTTGGCAGCAAAACCAAGAATAATTGTAGCTTCAATACCGACCAATAATTCATGTTCAAATACAAGCCATTCTTTTGATAATAGAAATGTCAAAAAACCCCAAAAGAAACAATAAGGACCAGTAACACCGGTTTTATCATAAAACATTTGAAACCATGATTCCGGTATGATACCTAAACGACATGGTTCAGGAAAATCAACATGCACTGGTCGTGGAAAATTCACTAAATCACGACGTTCACTTTTTTCATCCATTATAGTTGGCATATTTGAACCAAAACGAATGTTAAGAAAATCTTCCAATGAGCCATCCATTTTTGGATCATATTCATTGCCAACTTCATCATCAATTGCCGGCAATGGTGGTGCTGATCGTGAACTAATCATACGAAATTGTTGCTGGTTTTGTTGTTGTAATGCCATTATCAATGCCGTTCGATGTTGAGCATTGTTCAACAATCGTGCTAATAAAAATAGAAATCAATGAATGAATTACCATCAATTTAAAAGAAAATTAAGAAAAAACTAACCGGCTTGAAAAAAGTTTCGGACAAGCATGGTGGTTAAACGAATAATCTTCTAATGAATTATCATCAAAAAAAACCACAAATTTCAATTTTCTACCGATTCAAAGTCACCACCAAACAACCACCAAAAAACAAAATATGAAAACAACATTCAAGTTTACACAAGAGCAAAAAAGACATTGATTACCGTTCATAAATGATGTTACGAATTAAAGTTATTTTTAACCATTTTCTTCAATCAAACACCAGTAATCAAGATTATTATGATTAAAAATCAATTTTTAATCTGATTAATTTTATAATTATTGAATGAAAATCATAAAAAATCAATAAATTTTATCAGAAATTCAATTCAATTCAAATCAATCATTAAGTTATGGATTGATTTTCTAACCTAATAGATGGCGTCATAGGCCATTGATTAATGCGCTTGCGTCGAACGAAAAAAAAGGCCGATCTTCCTTTCTTGCTAATTCTTGCATGTGACAGCGTGTTTCCTGCTTTTCACACGTTGAGTGCTGTGGAAATTCATTTATTCCTCTCACAAGTGTCTGAAGCCTCGTTGTGATCATTTCGTTTTTCGTTCTTTTTTTCAACCAAATTTTCTTTTGACATTACCCGTAAGTTTGGATCGGGAATTTTTGAGATTAATTAATTTTAAAATAACCCTGATCATCGTGTAATCGAAGAAATATACAATTCGAATTGAATTTCGTCAATTTTCTCTATCATTTTTGTCGATTTTTTTCGTTTTTTTTATTCTTTCATTTGTTTCAAAATAGAAATGGCGGACGCTGCTCCAGCCGGTGGACAACGTGAAGGTGGTCGTGGTGGTTTTCGTGGCGGATTCGGTGGCCGTGGTCGTGGTCGTGGCCGTGGTCGAGGACGTGGCCGTTCCGATAAAGATGCTCAAAAAGCATGGAATCCATTGACGAAACTTGGCCGTTTAGTTGTACAGGGCCATATTAAATCATTGGAAGAAATTTATCGATTTTCTTTGCCAATCAAAGAAGCAGAAATTATTGACCATTTTATCCGTGGAAACTTAACCGATGATGTTTTGGCTGTAAAACCGGTACAGAAACAAACACGTGCCGGTCAACGTACCCGATTCAAAGCATTTGTTGCTATTGGTGATTCAAATGGTCATGTTGGTCTTGGCGTAAAATGTAGTAAAGAAGTAGCAACGGCTATTCGTGGTGCTATTATTATGGCAAAATTATCCATAATACCCGTACGTCGTGGTTATTGGGGTAATAAAATCGGTGCACCACATACCGTACCTTGTAAGGTAAGCATCGGTTTCATTTTCAATCTACACACACACACTTTAACCAACGTTCATGGTATCTGATCAATCTGTTGGTTTATTGGATTGATTTTCAATCTTTGATGAACTTGACAATTGATTATGATCCATGTTTTTAGTCACTTTTGGTCGGACATAATAATTATTAAGATTGTCCTGATTTTACGTGGCAACGTTGAATAGTAGAAAATCCGACTTCGTTTTCTAATATTTAGATTACTTGAGGTCTTGATTTTCAGAAGTATATTCCATTAGCTTTTTGTATTGTGATTTATATTACTCTGACAATTAAGAAAGACCATACTTCAAACATTCTAATTCTTTAAAATTTTTCTAATTTTATATTATTAGGTAACTGGAAAATGTGGTTCAGTAACCGTACGTTTGATTCCAGCACCACGTGGTACCGGTATTGTATCGGCACCAGTACCAAAAAAATTATTAACTATGGCTGGTATTCAAGATTGTTATACATCATCACGTGGATCAACATGTACTATGGGCAATTTTGCCAAAGCAACCTATTTGGCTATACAGAAAACTTATTCCTATTTAACACCGGATTTATGGCCCGTATCAACATTGACTAAAATGCCATTTCAAGAGGCTGTTCTTTGAATGAATTTTTTTTTTGAAAATAAAATTCTTTTAGAATTTTCATTTTTTTATTCATATTTTTTTCTGTTGTTGATAACATTCGATACACTTTAAATCTTTAATAGCGTCATTCAAAAATTCCGAATCAATTTCTGTTGTTGATAATTTTTGATTAATCACCGTGAATGGTTCGATTGATGATGAACCATCACAATTGGACAATTGATATTGTGATTGAAATTTTGTTCTAGTCATACAATGGCCACATTTAAATAACAATAATAATGGATCATTTTCAATATCGCTTGAAATTTCAATCTCAACAATCGATTGATGATTATCATCTTGTTGTTTATGATTCACTAATGGTGGTGGCTTCTTCAGATATTCATCAACAATATTTTGCCATTGTATTTCTAATGGCCATTGTGAATGATTAGATGATTGTTGTTGTTCATCTATTCGATTTGGACATTCAAATATCGAGCTACCAGTTGATAATGTTTGCGAAAATAATTCTTGTAATGTTACAATTGGATCTTGATGATCTTCGGATTTAGATGATGACTGTTTTCGAATCAATTCATCAGATTTTTTGACAATTCTTGTTAATAATTGATCAGTCATTCCTATTTGTTGGCGAATATCATCTTGTTCATGTTGTTTTACAAGACATAATAATTGTGGACCAAAATATGGATTAATCATTGATTCAGCAAAAAAAATTTGTTCCAAAATTTCAATAAAATCTTCTGGATATATTTGATTATGATTATCCTGAAGTTGAAATTCATTCCAAAATTGTAAAAGATTTTCCAATAATTTTGCCGTCAATTTACATTGTATCGATGATGAAGGTGAGGATTTAATTTTATGATGATTCAAATCAATTTGTTCAAGATAAAATTTCAACAAATTTGAAATTTCATTAATCAATTTTTTACGTTTCATGTCTACTTCATCATCATCATCGTCATTTTTTGCATTCAATTCTTGTCTTAGGGCATTGAACTGAAATTTTACTGATCCAATTAAATCATTAGCTATCCATGATACAAATGAACAAAGTTGATATAATTCTAATCGTTCAAATCTAAATGGAAAGAAATTATAAAGAAAAAAATTAGCAAACTGAATATCCGTAGATGAAAGATTTACCTTCGAATCAATGAATTGATATTTAAATCATGACGATTATGCAGGATGGTTAAAAGAATTTTTCTTTGCAATCTCAATGGCTTGTTTAAAATCGATTGACGATCATCATCAATATCGATTGGTATTTGCCAACCAGTAAAATTATCATAATCAAATGTATTGAAATTTTGATCATGCGCTTCCATTATATTTGATATGCAAAACAGAATTGATGGTTGACAACGATTATGTTTTGGTGAACCACCACTAGATGCCAAAATCATTTGATTTGATGAGGTTGAAGAAGAAGAAGAAGAAGAATTCAAATTAATTGTAATATGTCTCGATTCATATCTTCGCGGTGAATCATTGCCAATACTACCATGGCCATCATGTGATAATGTTACAGTTAAATCATCACAATCACCTGATGATGTTGCAGTAGTGGTAGTCATTGTATTTGATTGTCCATCAAAAAGTTGTCCATTTGAATTTTGGCCCCAACCCCAAACATTACCATCGAAATCAATGGCTAATGAATGAAATGAACCACATGCAATATCGATAAAATGATTTTGTTGATAATATTCATCAGCGTCATGATCATCATCCTGACAATTTATCGATACAGGTTGTGCTTGAAATTCGGCTTCCAATGATGATTGTTTCAACAGACCCAATTGTCCATCACGTCCATTACCGAAGGTATAGATTAAACCTTGATCAGTCAACAATAATGTATGCGATTGACCGGCTGCCATTTTCTGTATACAACTTCCAGGTGGTAATTTTTCCAAATTTATTTCACGTATCTTTGAATAATCCACGGTTTGATTTTTACAGATGACAACAATATTCATATTACGTTGATTATTAGTCCATGCAGCACGATCAGCACGCATTTTTAACCGCCATGTTTTGGGATCAATACCCCAACAATAAAGTTTTTCACTAATTAGTGATGATTCTGATTCATCAGATACAGCAATAACAACCGTATGAAATGGACCACAACAAATCATTCGTATTGGACCAGAAATTAATGTGAATTTTTGTGGAATGAAAAATTTATTTCCATTACATCCAGCTGGTTCCACGCCTAATTGTCCATAACAATTTTGACCAAACATGTATAAATCACCTGTAGTTGTTAAGGCTAAAATTCGGGAAAATTAATTAATTCCAAAACAAAAAATGAAAAATTTCAATCAACTTACCGGCTGTATGTGCATAACCAGCAGCCACATCAGCAATCGATACATTTATCGTATCAATAAAATATCTCACTAATCGTGGTTCAAATTGATCTTCGATCAATGTACCATGACCAAGTTGACCGTGTAATGACCAACCAAATGAATAAAGATGACCATCATTTGATAACAACAGTGTATGATATGATCCACATACAATTTTCCAAATTTTTTTTCGTTCATCCTGAATATCATGACCAAAATCCAATAATGTTGGATAACGTGTTTGTAAAACTTCGGATCCTAATCCAAGTTGTCCAAATGCAGATGAACCAAGTCCATAAATACCATTATCAGTTAAAATCATCATATGTTGATAACCAATCGATATGGAGCGTATTGGATCATTAATGATTGTTGAAAAGAAACGATTCAATTGTGGTTTTAATAATCGATTCGTTTTGATTGATGGTGGTGGTATTCGATCATCTGCTATGCTACGTTGTTGATCATCGAATGATGAAAAGATTTGTTCCAAACGTTCAGAATTGGTGAATGTATAATCAAATCGACCCCATAAACAATATTGACGATGATCAAATATCAATGAACAATGAGTACCAGCAACTATATGATGATCAAAATATGTCGTTTTCGGACACAATGATAATTCTTGATGAGATTTTTGTCTGCGATAATGTTCATCAAGTTTTTGTTCATAAATTTTTAAATGTTTTGGCATAAATCCGATAACTGTATGTATGAATGACCAATCATATGATGATTCAGATTTTGTTGTCAATTTTTTTAAACATAATGATTCTAAAAATAATTCCATATTCAATAAATCACGACGTTTAATTGGCAATAAACTTTTACGTAATTTTCCATTCGTAGTAATGAGACTTGAACATTCTGATTCGGACAAAGAATCATTCATCATATGAACATCACCTGAATCATGATGATCCAGATGTCCATCATCATTATCATCATCATCGTCATCATCACGTTTATCAGTATTACAAAGATATGTTTGATTACAATAAAATAATGTTTGATTTATCAATAAACGTACAGCTAATCTTCTTGGATCGAAAATTTTTGTAGAACGTCGAAGAAATCTTAATGATAATTGTGGTAATTGACTGAATAAAAATTGCAGATAACGTTCAATCAAACGAATTGAACGACATTCACCGACCATACAATTTGACGTAATCAAACAATTGGAATGATGATGATGATGATGAATAAATTCTGTACTTAGAATCAATGCATATGTAACATGCTTTGATGTTAATAATCGAAGAATCTGATGACGACAATGACGATCTGAATTTGAAAGTTGATCATCCAACATTGTCATCATCGTCATACATTTATATTGAAGTATAAAATAAATTAAATAAAGATAATCACCATGTAATCTTGCTACATATTCACTCATTTTATAAAGATTTAAATCGATTAATCGACGTAATACTAATTGATGATTATAATATTGGCGATAATTGTAGAAATATTCATAAAGTTCACTACATGAAGTTGATTTTTCATTATTGCTAGATGATTTTTCTTGGTCATCATGACTAGAATGATGATGAAATTGATAAATGGCCAATAATGCTTCAAATAATTGCCATGAAAGATAATTTCGTTCATCATCATTCAATTCAAAAAGGATTCGTGTATGAAAAAATTTCCGTATTTGACCAATGGAAAGAGACCAAAATCTGAATACATTCAATGCTGTTATAACACGACGTTTTGGACAACGACATAATTCAAGTAATCGAAATATTTGATTCATTCGATTTTGAATCCATTGTTTCAGATGAAAAGTACAATCGATTGTATCGTTTGATTGTTTCGTATTTTCCGCTAATAACGATACAATTCGAATACGTTCATTTTGTGATAAACAACAAAGTTGTTCATTATCATCAAATATTTGATTCATTAATAACATTGCTGAACGACATAACCATAATTGCCACGATTGACTTGGTATCATTACCATTGTTGATGGATTTAATTGATGATTCAATGACGGGGAATCGATTGATGAACAGCTTGTTTTATTATACAAACTTGAACGATGATGATACACCATTGATGCTGATGATGATGGACTAAAACAATCGACTAAAAATTTAGCACGATTTATAAGATCACCATCTTGATAATAGCCTTCTTCTTCTTGATTATGATGTAAAAAAGATAAAATTTCTGAATGAAATATACGACCAAAAGACTTTTCCTTGGATTCAATTATATAAACAGAATATTTAGTTACCACCAAGAATTCTTCATCCAATTGAATGGTAGCTTGATCCAGATCGGTGGATGAAAGTAATTCAATCAGATATCTTTCTTGATGATCCAATTGTTGTTGTTGTTGATCTGCAATTTCCATCGATAATTTTGAATAAAGATAATCACGTATACTAATACCATGTGTACATTGTTGTTGATTAGCCAGAAATACATCGATTATTTCATTTGATTTATTCTCATATTCATCGAATCTAAATTCAGCAATCGCAGAACAATTAGTTGACATTGAATTCGAAATGTTTGACATGGATATTGATCGAGGTGTTGTTGTTCGTGATGAACCTGGTGATTTTCTTCGAAATGATCCACCACCAAATTTATTGCCATTTGATTGAAAATTCCTTGATGATGGTGATCTTCGATGTCCACTTGAATCACTACGTTTCAATAATAATGGTGATCTTGGTGAACCAGAAGTGATACTACTACCACGGACACCACCAACACTACCGGTACTAATCGTACGATGTGATTTATTTGATTGTTCAGAAAATGTTTTCGATATCAATGATAGACGATTAGAAAATACGAGCATAAAAATCGATATGAACAATCGATTATTCGTAATAAATTATTCTTGGTGGTGGATGAACCATGATCATCATCATGATCATCACCAATAGCGGTATCGGAATTCATTAATGAAATTGAAAATAATCTTGCCGATGAAAGTAGAATTGTTTTTGTACAAAATTTTTGCCATGGAAATTCATACAATTCCAACAACATTTGATTATTATGAATAGATATATTACAAAAATTATCTAAACTATTGGAAGACTTTTTTGATATTATAAGAAAATCTAAATCTTGTGATGGTGATGATGATGATGAAGAATCAGAATCATTGGAAAAATCGGCTTCATTTCCTGTTGTTGTTGTTGTTGTAGTGGTAATATTAGATGATGATGATGATGATAAAGTTTGACTTAATTTTAATTTGGCACAATTTTGATATTTAACAACATAGATATTGTTGTTGTTGTTGTTTGTGTCTTGGAATTTAAATTTCTTGGTGGATAAATTGCCATTTTCACGCAATTATTTTGATGGCTAGATTGTTGTTGTTGTTGTTGCTGCTGCTGTTGTGGTTGATGACTAGCGGTTTGCATCAATGGTACAATTAAATCATCAACATTGAATGAAAATACATCATTATCAGTTGATTTACTGCTAATTGGTAAAACAATCGATTCATTATTATTAAATGTAATCAATTGTGGTTTTGTGGTTGTTAATGAATCATCATCATCATCATCATCACCGTCAGCATCTTCAGTATTCGATGGATTACCGGTGATTCGACCAAGCAATACATCATTTTCATTTTCAAATGGCAAATTCAATAAACAGGAAAGATAATAATTATTAAAATCGGAAAGTAATCCTGAAGTTTGATTTTTTATCGATGTTTTAGTCATCGATTCTTTCGATGATGATGACCGTGATGTAAAGAATCCAGATAATTTTGACAACGGTGTCGATGATGTCATGTTTTTTGTTGTCGTTGTTGCTGTTGCTGGCGATAAACAATGAATTGATGGCTCACAATGTTCAATTGTCGTTGATAATTGTTGATGTTGATTCGATGAAAATGATGATGTTGAGGTACGAAATTCTTCCAATATTAATTGATATTGTTTTCCTTGTGCACATGTTATCAATAATGATCGATTATACATTTCATCATAAATATTCAATGATTCAATCGGTAATGGTACAGAATAGCGATTAAATTGCTGATCAGTATCCAGATCTATCATTGATATTTGTCCACGTTTTGTACCAATCACAGCGATGGATAAACGTTGTTGTACATAACGTTCATTACGTTGCCACCATACAATTGAAGTTGGTTCGACGATTGTTTTATTATTACAGCAATTCATTCGTAGACTAGCATCTTTTTCAATCACAGTTCTATACATATCGATCGATTGGTCATAATAAGTGATAAAATAAAATGGTATCACATAGATGATTGATTCATTTGTAATGGCTAATAATTGTTCACCACTTTGATCCATACACATTGATACGATACGGCCTTTTTTCGAATCCAACGGTATGATCCAATGACGCCATTTTTTCGCTTTTCCATCATCATCATCGTCATCATTATTCGATTGGTTCGTTGATTGATTCAAATCAATAAATGAACCATATTGAAACAGATGTAATCGATAATCATTTGTATAGAGTACAAGATTACGTTCGGAATGAATTCTTTGGCCACCAAGTTCATTTTCATGGAAATGACGATTATCAACAACATGACTATATGTTGCCAATTCAATTCCAATTGATTTTTGGTCGAAACATTCTTGATTATCATCATTTGGAATTAATTGAAAAAATTGCCGTTTTTGAAATATATCCATTATGATGATGATTATGATAATGAATGTCTGTACATTGTTTGTTTATATTGCCATCGATCGATTGATTATTGCTAAATATCGATAAATGGAGTTATCACAAATGTAAAAAATTTCGTAACTTTAAATTCTCATTATTATGGATCATTGGTCCAGAAAAAAAATTTATTCAATTCGATTTTGGTTCGAGGACACTTTCAAGAACGGCGCGCGTGATTGTAAACAAACAATTTACTGCTATATATAATTACGTTGTTGATGAATGGCACCGCATAAATACGATCGAAAATCTTTGTTGATGGATCAAAGTTTCAAAACAATTTTATTTTTGCATCATTAAAATTAAATTAAATCAAATCCAAATATTGTCAACAACAACATTATCATGAGTATTTCATCGAAAACGAGTAAATTTGTTGTTGGTGTTGATAACAAAAAACATGATGCCGCCCCCAACGACAACGGCGACGATGATGATGATGATTATATGTCAGATAAATTTCTAATCAATGATAATTCGAGGTAAACATCATCGATTCATCTTGACAATTTGCTAATTTTTTTTACTTTCTAGCCAAAAAACATCATTATTACATAGTCATAAACAAAAATATGAACATGAAAGATATAAACGGCGTATGGAATGTCAACCAAAATCTAAACAAATAATAAAAGCAATGGAAGAAGAAAAACGACAGGCCGGCCTTTCGAAACCGTTATTGGATCCAGAGAATAAAGGATTTCGTTTATTACAGAAAATGATGACAAAAACAAATGATAAGATTGGTTCGTCATCATCATGTGATCAAGAAACGAATTTAAAACGAAAAACGGTTGAACAATTAATAATGGAACGACGACCAATCGATATTGAACTACGAATTGGCCGTAAAGGTCTTGGACATGAATCATCAGTGCGAAATAAACGCTTGAAATCAGAATCAATAAATAAAGATAACAAACGAAATTTCGATCAAATTGATCAAGATAAATTTCTTCGTTATCGTGTGGAAAAATCGGAAAAATTATTGGCGAAAAAAGATTATTTTTCATTACAAAAAATTTGTTATAATCTAGATCATCAATCGAACGAATCAATCACTGGGTCACCACCACCACCACCACAAGAAGAATGGTATTGGCCTAAAGAATTTTTAGCTGCTCTTAGAGCGAAAAATGATGACGAAGAAAATGAAGATGAAAAAATGATGATGAAGATGAGGATGATGATGATGATGAGAATGAAATTGATTATCAAGAACGATTAGAACAACTGGATCATTATGTTCGTTCAGAATATTTTTATTGTCTTTGGTGTGGCTGTCGTTATGATTCAAATGATGATCTCATCGATAATTGTCCTGGCAATACACGACAATTGCATTGATTTTTTTTATTATTATTTGTTACATTTTGTACAAAATAAATTCATTTAAATTAAATATTCTGTGTATGTGTATTTTTGTTTCTCGTTAACGTTTTTTAATTATTGGTGAAGTTTTATTCAAAGTTGTTGTATTACTACTACTGCTATCACTTCGGGTTGTTATACTTGTTGTTGTTGTAAAATATTTTTTCATCATTGGTGTTAGCTGAACAATAATCTTATTTGCAATGGCTTTATTCATGATGTTTTCGCTGTTCTTATCCGTAATACTGATTGATTTTTTTGAATTTTCAGCAATTTTGGAATTTGTTCGTTTTTTATTACGACGACGACGACGACGAACAATCATCATATGATAAACGATCCATAAACAAAGGACAATAAATACGAAAACAATCATGATTATCGTCGATATTCTCCATTTATTTGTTGTTGTTTCGGTTTCTGTTTCGATTTCTGTCAATATCGTTGTTGCATTCATTGTTTCATCCGGTTGTTTATTGGAATTTGGACGAAATTTACAGATAATAAAATCTGATAAAGATTTTATTGACAATGGAAATTCTTTTGAAATATTTTTTAACAATTCTTGATCAAAGAATAAAACTTGTTGTTTTTGTTTCGAAATCAAATACAATTGTCCAGAATATGTGATTGATTGATCAATTGTTCGCAGTAATGGGCCAGTCTGTCGCCATGTTTTACATGGATTCTGTTGTAGATTGATCATACCACTATTATCATTCATATCATTGGATTTTATGCATAAAAATCCCAATGGATTACCATCAAAAAATATTGTGTCCATTATCATCTGATATTGATGACCTTGACTTTCATGATCATCGTCATCATTGATGGAATGATAATCATTATGAATGAGAAATTGTTTTCCATCATTATGATTATTTATCATTATCAAATGAATATTTGGATTTCGATATTCACGACGTTTTTTTGGCCGTACAAGCATATTTGTTTGTGAATCATGTGCATAATAATCATATGAATGACCACCATTTTTTGTCAATATAAACAATACAATATGACCATCAATATGATTAACACCTGGACGTCGTAAACGTGTTAATGAATAAGTTGTTGTTGATGATGATAATAATTGCATAGTACAAACAGAACGTTTTAAATCTGGGTGTATTTTTTCAAATTCATATTGATAACCATTATCTAGCATAAATTGTCTGTTATAAATATTGAAACGTCTTATTATCGGCGGTGGATAAATGATGACCGAACAATTTACAAATTGATATAGATAATCATCAACAATTGAAATACCGTTGATGCCATAATCAAGACCACAATAAATGTGACCATGATAAGTGATCACGGGAAACCATATCGACCCCAATGTCAATGATGAGGATTGAAATAGCAGCAATATTATTATTACGATGATGTTGGTGGCTGAAATTTTGAAGAAAATCATCAAAATTGATTTTTTCCACCACAAAAAAAAAACAGTAAAAGTAAAACAAAATTTGATGAAAAATTTGCAATAAATTTAAATTTAAATTTTTATTCGTGAACAGAAAAAATTTTTTTTTACTTTAATTCAATTTTCGAATTGTTTTTGAAAGTACGAAAAGATTGTTACCAGTATCATTTGTTGTTGGTGTTGTTGTTGTTGCACTGACGTCTTTGTTTTTTATCTGTTGCTGATTTTTTGTTTTCTTTCTTTTACATATAACATGAACGATCATCCATATGAAAAACGACACCAACACAAGAATCACGATGATGTTTGAGATTCTTATGACATTTGATTTTTTTATTATCGTCGTTTTCGATGTTGTTGTTGCTGCTGTTTTATTTCCATTGTTTAGAAATTTTGTACTATCGGATTCTTTACAAACGATAAAATCCGTCAATGATCTGATTATCAATGAAAAATGTTCAGTATCATTTTCCGGTTTGTTTACCAATTCTACTACACTGGATAATAATTTTAGATCCGTAATTAACACTTGTTTTTTTTGTTTTGAAATTAGATATAATTTTCCCGACATCGAAAATGATAAATTAATCGATTCCAATAATGTACGTGTTTCACGCCATGTTTCACATGGATTACGTTGTAAACAAATCCAAAGATCATTATCATCACCATTATTGTCGTTTCGTTGTTTTAGATTTTTAGATTCACCAATGCAAAGAAAACCTATTGTTTTATCTTTCCAAATGGATGGATCATTCATCAGTTGATATTGTGAACCTTGACTATCATCATTGGATTGATCATCATCATTCATATGATAATCATTGTGTATGATGAACGCATGTCCATCATTATTGACCATTATATAGTGGATATTTGGATTTCTATGATGATTTCGTGTTAAATGAATGTTTGTATTTATATTCGAATCATGTACATAATATTCAATGGAATTTTTTTGATATTTCGATATTAAATACAATAATATGTGATTATTGTAATGTAGACCCGGATATTTTAACCGTATCAATGAATACATTGGTTCCATCAATGATGATTGATCGGCCCATTCACAAAACGTATCATTGAATGACAATCGAATTTGATCAAATCCAAAACGATAACCATTTGCCAATAACAATTGTTGCCATTGTATATCATCATTGTGTATTAAATATTTTTGCAATGGTGGTGGATAAATGATGACCGAACATTTTTCAAATTGATACAGATAATCATCGATTATGGACAAGCCAAATATATCATAATCCAGACCACAATCAACGTGGATTTTAGAATTGGCAATATCAGCAAACCATATGGACTTGGAATCAGCAAAAGATTCTTGTATGGTTATCGACAATAACAATATAATGAACATGGAAATGTTGGCAATTTTCTTCATCATTCAATTTGAGATTCGTTGACAGAAAAACTAGACCATTAAAAAATAAAATTCGAATTCTACACTGAAAGGAAAACTAACACTTTTTATTTACGATTATGTTGAAATTAAATTACATGTGTTTTTTTAAAAATTCAATTTTCGATCAATCAATATTTTTCTCGTACACGACGATATTGTTGTTGTTGTTGACGGTGGTTATCCAGTAGTTTTTGATTCATTCTTTTGTTTCGATTACTATATGAATAATCATCGATTGATGGAATCGTTGTCCACCCTGTTGGTGATGATGGCGATGAAACCATCACATATAGAATTTTACGTTTACGACAATGGGCCACAAAACAACCGTATAAGAATATAGCGAATAATGATGTAAAAATGAATATCATCAAAACGATTGCGACCATTTTCCAATGATTAATCAATTTCTGCTGCATTCCAGTAGTAGTGATCATTGTTGCCGATGTTTTATTCCATCGCTTGTTCGTGTTGATATGATGAACATTCCAATCATTACAAATGAAAACATCGTCAAATGTTGCCATTTGAATGGTGAAAATTTGATTCCATTTTGTCAACATTTTTCTTTGTGAAATCAGCATGAAAAATTCCATTTGTTTGCTGGTGATTAGAAATAATTTTTCTCCACAAGTGAAACCAAAATCAATATCGGCGAATAATTCATTCATTAATTGCCAATTCGATGTACATGGTTCTGATTGTAATTGAATGGTGATCGATGAATGATATGAATGATTTTGTTGTTTGCCATCAGATGACGTTATCAGGCAAAAATAGCCAATTTTTTGTTTTTTCGTTTTCAATGGATTGCTTATTATTCCGTATTGATGATGAATCTTTTTATTATCATTAGATTCATTCGTGATGAACAATGTTGATCTGCCATCATTATTGATCATAAAAAAATGTACTTCCTGGTTGTTGTTTGATTCATAATTTTCTTGTTTTAATGAATAAAATGAATTCCTTATGATCAATTGTAAATAATCGATTTGTGTTGTTGTTTGCATTGATTGTTTCGATGACCAATAATGTAAAATGAGCATATTTTTTGATTTACGATTCAATGAATAACCAAATTTCTTTTGCTGCTGCTGTTGATTGATACAAAACAATTTTGTCAGATTTTCTGGCAACATTTTATTGAATCCATATAAACGACCATTGGTCAACGATAATTCTTCACCATCATTGATGATGTGCGAATCATCATCATTTGGTGGATAAATGATTACACTACAATTGTGTAGAAATTGAAAAATATAACCATCAACAATTGATAGGCCAACCATTTGATAGTTTGTTCCACATTCAATTGTCGTGCCCAATGAATCATTACGAAACCATAATGATTGTGGTGATGATGATGATGATGATAAATCAGAACGAAATGATTGTTGTTGATCAAGAAGAATTTTGGAATTAGAATGTTTCGATATCCGCAGCAGCAGTGGCAACAGAAACAACCACCACCACCGTATTATTATCATTTTTCATGAATATCAAAACAGTAAACACACGAAAACTAATCGAACAAAATCAATTCCAAATTTATATGGAACAAAAAGAATTCGAAAATTTTAAAATTTAATTTAAAATTTTAATCTTGTTTTTTGGATTTTTCATTTTTCTCAACTATTACCGATGATTTTGATGTATTGATTTCAGCCGATGATCGAGATGGCGAGGTTTTCGATGCTTTTTGTGTAGATATTTCCGATAATGATTGTGATTTCAATGATTTTACAGCGCGACGACGGAGGTGCGGTGATAATGATGCTGACCGTAAACGAATTTTAACATTTTTTATCATTGGTGATGATTGCTGTTTTGTCGATGATTTTGATATTGATTTTATCGTAGTGGTTGTTGTTTCTGTTTTTTCATCAACAACATTTTCATCACCATTGTTGTTGTTGTTGTTGTTGTTGTTGTTTTCATTTTCCATTGTTGTTGGTTTTAATAATTCTGATTCTGGCTTCTTTTCACGATGATAATGATGACGTTCTTTTTTAGTAGCAGCAATAGCAGTTGTAGCTGTTGATTTTTGTAAATAAAATTCCGATATCAAAAATATGGCAAACAATAAAATGACCAACAGAATCGATAAAAGCAATGCGGTAATAATGATTATTGCAAGACGATTTTCTTGTGAAAAAATATTCTTCGATGATAATGATTGAATGACGAATCTAGTGGAATCATTATCGGCGCCATCATCAATGTTATGCGAAAAATTCGTTGAAATTCCATCATCATCATCATCATCAAAATTAACTAATGAATCACAATTGGCCACAAAATCACGAATCGATTTCATTTGTAATGAATAATTTTTTGCTCTTTGTTTATCATCATCATCATCTTTCGATAAAATCAATTGATAATTGACGTAGAAAACATTTTGTTTTTCAATGGACACCAAATATAGCCATTGATTTTTATAAGTGAAACCATAATTGATGGTCGATAAAATTTGTCCAGTTGATTCTTGTTCATCATTGTTACATTGATCATCTGTATTATCGTTATTTGGTTTTATTAAACGGATGGTTTTTTGTTTACTATCCACACAAAGATGACCAATTGATGAACGTTGTAATGGATTGTTTAATACTTGAAATTTAGGAATTTTATTTTCATTTTCATATAGAATTAAATGTGCATCACCATTGCCGCTTATCAATATCCATTGTGTTGGCCGTGAATAAATTCTTTCAATGGAAATTTGTTGTATTGGATCATTGATTGTATAGAATTCATAATTATATTCAATCGATGAACGTTTCATATAGATGGCCATTGTTGGTCCTAATTTTGGATGGTCATAAATGGCCATACCAAAATGTTGATGAAATTCCATTAGTTTCAAATGTTGACTATATTGTTGTAGTGAAAAAAAATCCACATCCTGAAATAATTTCCATCGTTTATTCAATTGTTTCAATGATAAACGTTGCTGTCCATTGGATAGACTGAGACGATGTTTTTCATGATCAAAATGTGTCATCAATGGTCCATAAACAATCGTGGTGAAATCTTTGAATAATTGATAAACATGATCATTCATAAATGATATGCCAAGTGTTTGATTAAATTGTCGGCCATATGATCCACATTTTATCGATATTTTCAATACCATCATTGTTCGATTGTTGTTGTTGTTGTTGTTGTTGTTGCTGTTTGCCATCACAAATGGCAATGAAAATGAAATGATAACCAAAATTTTAGCCATTAATAAAATCTGATGATTCATTTTCATTGGAAATGAGAATATTTTCGAATACGACAAGTTTTTATTTACAACAAATGAAAGGCAGAAAAAAATGATTATGATTAGAATGTTGTCGTTGTTGTCGTTTGTTTGTTTTTTCAATTAAAATTGTGAAAATAAAATTAAGAAAAAAACGAGTGAACGAAAAACACATTGATTCGAAACAGAATGAAAAACAAGAATATTTCGCTTTTTATGTTATGTTACAATTGCAAATTCAATTATAGTCGATATTATTATTATTATTCAATTATTTCCGAAATTGGAAATCAATCGATTGAACCGTATAATTTTTTTTTTTGATTTATTCCACAATCAAATGTGATAAGATTTTTGACGATAATGATGATCACGATTATCATTATTTGATGTTGTTGATGGTTGATTATGATTAAATTGTAAACGTGGACATTCATGATTACGATCGGGAAATTGACGATTATCTATTAAACGATAATGACACATTCGTAATTCATGATGATGATGATGATGATGTTGTGGATAAAATGATGGATTCCAATAAGAATTTCTATTCAATGATGATAATGGAATTTGCTGTGAAGATGATTGTTGTTGATAATATGGATGTAATGATTTAGATGATGGTGACATTTTTGTATTTAATAATTGATGATAATGATGATATGATGATGGTGATGGTGATTGATATGAATTATGATGATAATATCTACCATTATCATCATCATCATCATCATTCTGTATTATAGAATCAATCGATAATGTTGAAATGGTCGATGTTGTCATTTTACGATTATTCTGATGATGATGATGATGATGACCTTTACGTCGTTTACGTTTTTTACGTTTATTTTTATTCTGATTTTGATTAATTATTTGTGATGATTGTGTTTGTAAATCTAATGTTCTATTAATATTGTTACTATCTAATACAAGCGTTGTGGTTGATGTTGTAGATGATGATGTAGTGGTGGTGGTGGGCGTAGCAGCCGTCGTTGTTGTTGATGATGTTGATGTTTTTAAATCTGATGACCATTTCAAAAATATTGGCAGTTTTTCTTCCTGTTGTTGGATTTGATCATTTTGTTGATGTGAATAATATGCAGAAGAATTTTTTGATTTTAATGTAAGATAATTGAGGAAATTATCATTATTCATTGATGAACCGGTTGATGATGATGATGGTGAATAAAATTGTGATAATTCATTTTGTTGATCCATCATTGATGATGATGAAGAAGAAGAAGAATCAATGATTGGACCAAAATAATGATGATGATGATCAGGTGAATTATTTGTGAATCTTGAAAATTTTGAATTTGTATTCGTAAACATTGATCGATGATTTTGTTGATATGGATGATAACGATTATGATGATGATGATGATGATGATGATAATGATTATTATAATTCACCGGTGTTTGTTCCCAACAATTCAATGCTTCTGGAAATGTTATACCATTGATGGATACTTTGTACCAATCTAATTTGGTCAATAAAATATGCGCCATACATGATGGAACAAATACGGCGCTAACATTAGTCAATGTTTGTATCATTTGTTGTGATAATTGTCGTATATAATGGATACGTTCCATTTCATTCATTGCTTGATTTGCTAAACCATCCATGTATAATTGAAATTCATCATATTGAAATTGTACAACAAATAATGGTGTTGATAATGTTGGATAAAGACGATAACCAAAATAACAACGCCATGGTTCTTGTGGATATTGTTTAGCACAAGATTCCGGTACACGGCTATTCCATAATCTAAAATTCATGATGAAAAAAGAAAATTTTTTTGTTTATTGAAGAAAATTTCAATCCACACAAACAAACCTATAGGCACCACGAATCATTTCGGTTGGTGAACAAATACCATCCGCACATGGCATTGATGATGATGACGAACTTTGTTGTTTATCTTGATTCGTAAATCCAACCGGCATTTGATGATGATGATGATGATGGTCATCCGAATCCATAATCCAACCGGAATCAGCCAGACCACGAACATCAGCAGATGAACCAGCATCGGATATCATTTTCGCTACACGATCCAAATTAATCATAACACCGGCAGCACCGGCTGATGAACCAGCCAAAAGTATGAATTTTGAATCCAAAAATCCATACGTTGGTGAACGTATTAATTCACCAATAACTTCATCAATGATACGTGAACCAAAAAATGACATGGCCATCGTTGGTGGTTTGGCCGGTGAATCACCGCTCCAAATATCCGATGAACAATATGGTATGAAAACATGATTTGCATTCCACCAATATGGATTCATTGATGGTGATGATGATAGTATTCCACTAACTATAAATAAATGAACCAAACAAAAAGAATGTTCAATGTGCCGTGTTGTTTTTGTTTATTTTTCAAATTAATAACCAAAAAAAAAAATTTCATTTTTTGGCCCTTTATCATCATCATCGTCATGTGAACATTTTATAAATCTATTCATCCATCAGTAATCAGACACACACACACACTCGATGTGTGTGTGTGTGTTCTGTTTCACCAAAACATAGAAAGAGAGGGTTATTATTTTTATGGATTTTTCATAAATGTAAAATGAGAATGAAAACAAAAACAAAAACAAAAAAAAATTTTTTTTACACTTGATATATGTGTGTGTATGTGTACATTCTTGTGATTCTATCTATTCTGGCTTCATTAGTTTGAACTGATTTTTTTTTCGATGTTTGGTTTTCTGGTTTCAATCATCATCATCATCATCATCAATGTATAATGTGCTAAATAATTAAAATAAACAACAACAACAACAACAAAATGGTGAAAGATTTTGCATTTTTTTTCGTTTCTTGTTTCGAGATAAATCATTAATTCATTCATTTCATCCAACTGTGTGTGTGTGTGTGTGTCGAATCAATATATGGTCCATAGGTGACAAGTATTGCATACAAACCAAGCCAGAACATTGAAAATTTTTGTTTTGTTTCCATTCGATACATGGATGACCGGCTTCATGTTTTTTTTTCTACGATATTTGTCTTCACATGATAATCATTCATGATCATGAATTGAAATTCAAAACAAGATCAAAGATTGACAAGCCGACACATTATCGGGTAAGCTTTTTCTTTCTTTTTTTCGGTCTCTCGCTCTCCAAACAGCAGCAGCAGCAGCAAAACAAAACAAAATGAAGATGAAGAGCTCAATTCACACTGATAAATAAACACACTTGTAACTGGTCAAAATGATTGCAATTCATAAAAAAGGGTCGATACACACACCAAAATTGACCAAATTATGACCAACTGAAAACTAACTGGAAAAAACAACTTACCAGTTTTATATTGGCTCCAACGAAATGAAGTCATAAAATCACGCATTTTATACCAACGTTGATCACAAGCACTTTTGCTCATACAATACCAACCACCTTCAAGAAATATTATCCATCTACGGGAACCTGTTGGTGATGGCCGTATATAATAACCGGCACGTGTACCATCATTACAAGTAACAGATGAATTGGATAACCATTGTAGATGCATAGCTGAATATTGATGTGCAAGTTGTGCAAATAACTGCTGTTGGGATGTTCCAGCCAAATTCATTGATTTCCCTGATGATTGTTGTTGTTGTTGTTGTTGTTGACCACTACCACTATGATACATTGCATAATGTGGCCGATTTTCCAATGTTTGATGAATCGATGATGATGATGGTGATGGTGATTCTTCATCATTCATCATTCGATTCATAAATTCATCATCATCATCATCAACATTTTTATTATTGATCTCATCACTTTGTCTATCATTATGATTCAAATTTGAATCGTTTATCATCGTCGTCGTCTTCGAAGATGGTGATGAGGTAGTTGAATTTTTTCTTAAAATATTCATCAAATAATCTTGATGATATGATGATGATGATGATGATGATAATGGTGATGGTGAAACAAAATTCGTTGTTGATGATTGAAATCTATATTTGGCACATGTAGTTGATATGATAACACCCATCGATAATAATAGAATCAATGGTAATACTTCCATGATTGTTGATAAACATATGGTTGTTGCCGATTGCGATGAAGATGATGTTGATGATGATGATTCTTGTGATGATAATTGTTGTTGAATCGTTGATGATAATGTCGATGATGTTGATGATGGAGGAATCGAATAATTTATATTCAATGATGATTGTTCGAATGTTTTTTCATTCGAATCTAAATCATTGACGATTGTTGTTTCGATAGTATCGGATATTTTTTTCGATTGTTGTTGATTATTATAAAAATGATACTGTTTAGAATAATTTCGATATTCTTGTTGTTGTGAATCAAATGGTGAAGAATTTTTCCCATTCATTAATAAACATTCGGGATATGATGATTTTGATTGCATAAAATTCAATTGTTGTTGTTGATGTTCGATATCGGTATCGATACCGATATTCGATAGTTTTGATTGTTCAAATGATTCCGTTGGTATCAATGTATTCAATGATGATGTTGATGAATATTTTCGATGTTGATCATGATCATCATCATGATTTAAACTAAGTGATGGACGAACGTATGGTGGAAAATAGAAAAAATTATAATAACAATATGAATACCGTTGTGATTGATCATCAATTAATGATGATGATGATTGATTTTCACCACAAATATCAATATATTCATCATCATCATCATAATTATCATCAATTGATTTTAATAGCTGTAAATGTTCACGTTGACACTGACGTTGTTGTTGTTGTCGTTGATGTGACCAGAATTTCAGCCAAAAATCCTTTTTCCATTTCGTTGTCGTTGTCGTATTTGGCGCAATCATATAATGATGATGATGATGCTGATGTTTTCGTTGTCGATGTGATCGTCGACGTTGTTGACGATAATCAATTATTCCAGATCTATATGTTTCACGTATTGTTTTAATCGTTGGCAATATTTTTGTTGTTGACGAACCGGAATCGAATTGATTTACAATCAATTTACATTTATTACGACGACAATGACGACGACTAGAATCGTTTTGTATTATAATTGACGCCGTTTTGTTGTTGTTATTTTGATTATACACAGGTGAAAATGACTGTGATGATGATGATGATGATGATGATACAATCGGTGCTAAAATCAAAGTGTTTCTGATTTGATCATTTGAACTAGTTGAAGTCGTCTTGATCGTCGTATTTAGTGGTGGTAGTTGTTGTGGTGTTGGTGCTGGTTTCAATTCGACTTTAACTCGTCGTCGTCTTCGTTGTTGTTGTTGTTGTTGTTGTCGGTTTTGGTGCTGTAGGTCGAATGATTGTTGCTGGTACTGTTGAAGTAAATGAATATTTTCTCCAATTTCTTCATCATCATCATCGTCGTCGTCGTCGTCGACAGCTTGATTTAAATTCAATTCGCCACCAGCACCAATAACAATTATCATTGATGATTGATCATCATTGATATTTTGATTATTGGTAATAATCTGATGGCCACGCCCATATTTATCTTGGTCAACGCCTACATTAACATTCGTCTTGTTGTTATTGTTGTTGTTATTGGCGATATAAAGATTTTCTTCTTTTTTCGTCGTTATATCACCATCTTGTTGTTGTTTTCTTTGTTCATCATCATCATCTTGATCAAGATGATGATGATGATGATGAATAAAAAATGACGATAATTTTGTCGGTAAATTTTTCTTTGATCTTTACCATCATCATCATCATCATCATCATGATGATCATGATGAGCAACAGCAGAAGCTGCTGTATTATTATTAGCTGTCAAGATCAAAGAATTTGAAGCCGACATTGTCCATGTTGTTGTTGTTGTCGATGACATTGGTGTTGATGAAGAATTCATTGATAACGATAACGATAACGATGATGATTCTTCTTTCTTTAGATCTTTATCATTTGATTCTTTGATTATTATTGCTTCTGCTAATTCATCATCATCATCATCATCATCATGATGATACATTTGAAGATTTATCTTTGATGTTGCCGCCATATTTATCGTGTATGATGATGATGATGATGATGATGTTTATGAATGTGGCCAAAATAAACAAAACAAAACAAAAACAATTTTTAAATGACATATATGGATGGTTACTTTTGGCCTTTTATTGTGGCCAACACCTTTATTGTTTGATTGTTCCACCCACTTTTTACTATGATTGTCATCATTTGGATATTTTCGCTTAGTTTAATTGAATTTTTTTGTTTGTTTGTTTGCAACTCTCTCTCTCTCTCTCTCTCTCTCTCTATTGATTATATTGAGATTGAAGATTTGGTGATTCGATCGGATTGTTGTTGTCGTTGTTGTTTGTTTTTATTGTACGAATCAATTTGTAAATATCGCCATAATTCGATTGATTCTTGTGTGTGTGTGTGTGTGTGGTGCGTTTCTCTCTCTAGAGTTATTAATTTCCTGTCCAAAATAGAAAAAGAGTGAATGAATGAGTAGCAACATAATCTTGATATATAAGTTTTAATAAACACAATTTCCTTTCCATCGATTCTTTGGTTCAATGAATGAATGAATGAATTTGAAAAGAATTTTCATTCTTCATTCCAACATTTATCATTGGTTTCCGTAAAAATTTCTTTTCCATCATAAAGAATCATTAATTGAAGAATCATAAAGAAACTGACCAATTGATTTTTTTTTTTGTATTTGAATTCAATCCATAAACGTAGTATGAAACGGAAATGAAAATGGCAACGGAAATAGAATTTCCACTACTACTACTGCTGCTGCTGCTAATCTTAGCGATTCTTTTTTTTATTGTTGTTGTTGCAATCATCTGATTACAGAATATTGGAAAAAATCACCTTGCGGCCATCGTCAGAATATTGAAAAATTGAAATTAATTTTTTTTTCACTTGAATTTTAATTTCAAAATGAAATTAAAATTTTTCTCTTTTTCATTGTTTCAAAAAGTTCACCACCATCATCATCATCATATGATCATATGAACATGTTCGAAATGGTGAAAAATTTCGAGGAATTTCCATCGTGACCGTAGGTGATTGGGTGAGAATCGAAAAGAATTGAAAAAAAATTCCAAAACTACAAGAAACAAGTGGAAGAAAAAAATTTTTTTTTCATTTTTTTCATTAAATTGAATTCTGCCATGAGATTCTCTATGGCTGGCTATGACAACAAAAACAAGAATGAAAAAAAAACATACACACACACACACTGAATGTAGAATTTATGAAAAAAACCTATACAAGTAAAGACAGAAAAGAATTTCTAGAATTTAATTTAATTTATTTAATTTTTTTCTCATTTTATTCTCTCTCTTTCTCTCGTTTTAAATTTTTTTTTTCTAACCGAACATGATTCCAAGTAAAGTAACATGATGGCATCATCATCATCGATATATTAAAATGGATTGCAAAGAATTAAATCTTAAGAATTTTAAAACAAGACAGGTTCTGGTTATTCTGGCTCTTTCTCTCTCTCTCTGTGTGTGTGTGTGTGCTATGGCTGCTGCCTGGCTTTTTGTTGTAACCACCCAAAGATTAATCAATCAAAGTCTTTTTTTTTTCTTATTCTTCTTCTTTGTCAAAGTTTTCCATTCGATTCTGTGCTTTTGTGTGTGTGTGTGTGTGTGTGTGTGTGTGTGCAATTTCGTAAATGATCATGCTGTTGTCGGTTGGTGATAATGGAATTTTGCTTTTCAATTTTTGTATGTTGACACAGTTTTTGGGTCTTAATTAACATCCGGAATTTTTTGGAATTTTTTTTTCATCAATGGTGAAAGAATTCACTCATCTGTAAATGTTTAATGGGCGTGTGTGTGTGTGTGTGTGTGTGTGTCTTTCTGGCGAAAAATGTAATGATGAATGTGGAAAAAAAATGAATCGAATTTCTTAAGAATCAAATTCAATTTCTATATTGAATTCCGACAGGAAATGAGGAGAAGAAAAAAAATTCCCTCTCAGCTTAACCTTTGTAGCGACGACGACGACGACGATAATGATGTATGAGATTTTGTTCAGCAAAGAAAAAGTTTACAGAAAAAAGAAATTTTCTTTTTTTTTCTTTACTCGGAAACTTTCTTTGAAACCTGTGAACAAAAAAAAAAATTCCATTTGAAATTTCTTTTCATTACATTCAAGTCATTAATTTAAATTAAGATTTTTTTTTCACATTCTTTGATTCTTTGGGAATTTTTTTTTCGTTCCAATTGGAGCGTGGAACACACAAACACACACGCCAAAAACAGTTATCGATCCACAGATCAACAACCAAAAAAGAAATGAAAATGAAATGTTACAAAACAACAACAACAAAAAATGAGAAATAAACACAAACGATCAAAATCACTTGAAATACGATGCCTGATCATGTTTCATTGTTTGTGTGAAAATCGATTTTTTTTGTTTTGTTTTGTTTGGTCCATCTAAAAAACAACAACAACAACAACGACGACGACTACGATGGAATTATCATTTACTACAAGACACAAACTACAACAAAACAAAAGACGAACAAGAAAAAAAAACAAAAATCCGGCCGGAAATACCATTTTTCAATGATGAAGAAGTATAAAAAAAAACAAGTTTCCACTTAGAGATTGATGATCCATCAACCTATATCTATAAGAAGAAAAAAAAATAACACGACATTACACATTATCACACCAAAACCGAATCTAGAAGACAAAAAAAAACACAGAAAAATCAAGACAATTGAACCAAATGGACAACTACTATAATGGTCAATAACAACAACGTAAACAACGAAAACAACAAACTTTCTTACTTTTTTTTCTCTTTTTCAGTCTCAAATTTCAAGATGGTGATGATGATCATTTAGCTTGATGATACCAAAGGTGAACGCACACACACACATGCACGGATTCACGTTTATAACATACGATGCTGTTGGAAATTCTGGAAGGAAAAAAATTTTTTTGGTTTGAAAGTTGAAATTCACCCAGAATAAAACACACAAGCAATATATTGCTGCTGATGAACCACAATGGTTGACTGAATGAATGAATCTGATCTGTTTTAATAATTTCAAACAAAAAAAAAATTGGTCTTTGTCGTCTGCAAATCGATGCAACAGAAACACAATCATCATGGTCTATTATTGGATGGGTAACCATCCATATCGTCGAGTTTTTTTTCTCTTGGTTATTGCGCATCATCATACATCGAAGAATCGATATTGAATGTATGGTGAAACACTTGCAGACATTCTGGTCGAAAGACATGAGCTTTTCACCTTTTTTGTTTTGTTTTGTTTTGTTTCTATTTTATTACGCCCGGAAAAAAAATTGCACGTGCGCTTGCGCACGTGTTTTATTTTTTTTTGGAAAATTTCTTTTAAAAAACATCATCAACATTTATAAAGTGAAAACATTTTTATGATGATGATGATGATGATGATAAATTGATTGTGATTATGAGAGGCGAACATACACATACACACACACACACACACACATGTGGTTAATCATTTACAGATTTAGATTCAAGATTTCTTTTTCTGGCAAGCCAGAAGACAAAAAAAATTACAAAAAAGATTTGCCGCTGGTGCAACTATAGATAATGGGCGGCAATGATCAAAGTTTTTATTATGATGATGATAATAATGGTAAGAGACAGAGAGAGAGAAATATGAGAAAATTTATGACAACGACAAACGACGGCGACACATCAATCGTATATTTTTTTCTATGATGATGATGTTTTGACAAACAAACAAACAGTCACATATCTCATTTCGACGGATGTCATTTTATTGATTATGATGATGATGATGAAGATGATACAAGAAAATTGTTCACCTGGAAACAAATACAAAACGAGAAAAAAAAACCTAGAAAACACACACACACAAGCACCGATGGAAAATGAAAAAATCTTTCTCTCTCCCTGGGTGTGACACCATTCCGTTGAAAGGAATAATTCGTCGAATAATGAATTCTGGAATCAAGAAAAAAAAAGCCAAACCAAATCCCAATGATTGATGAGTGATTCTAAAATAGCAAAAAATTACCTACTCAACGGGTGGTAAATGAAAAAAAAATGCAAATTCTTTTTCATCTCGTTGGTTTTTCTGTTTTCTGTTTTTTTCCATTTCTTAATTTGTTCATTTTCTGATGATGTTGATGTTCCAGTTTCAATTTAGCATCATCATCATCATCATGGATGAATTAAAAGTGTGAATTACTGGCAAAAAAAAACAAAACAAGAAAAAAAAGCTCAACATTTTGGCAAAGAGAAAAACAATGAAAATATGAATGGCGAACAAACGAATCAATAATCGGATACTTTTTTTTCTACTGTTTATCAAATGGCTGTACTTGAAATGGTGATATTCTTTTCCATTCACTACACTACACTTCATTTACTT